ATGGAAATAAAAGTGATCATAAAGTATCAAAACTACTCAGGCAACCAATTTGTGCCAGCATCATTCTGCAGCACTTCGGCTACTCAGAGAAGATCTAAAAAGTATACTGGCAAGCAGTTTAAAGGGAGGGGCTAGATCTTGTTTTACTACCTTTTATGTAATTACATAGTAAAATTCTTTTAAATCCACATGAATTTTTTAATCTGTGGATTTTTAAAAGGCCATAAATATTTGTTATCCTACAATCATATGCCTTAAGTAATAATTTCTCTTTTAAGGCCACACAATTCTCTACATACAAATCACATCATTTTCATTTAGATTTCAACGCTCTTTTGTCCATTCCCTATTTGTTACTATTGTTCTTAGGATTCCATTCTCACAGGCAATTTTATCCACTGACATTGTTTTAGCCTCTATATTAAGGGCTCCCGAAATGAAATGCCCAGCTCTGATCTCTCCTGAGTTCACACTGTCTGCTATACATAGAACAATACTAATTCCTGATATAGTATTGAGGTCTTGTTATATGTCCAGTATTTTGATAAGTGCTTAAATTAACAAATTATTTCACAGCTCCTGTGTGGTAAGAACTATTACTATCCCCATAAAAACTGAGACTTAGAGAAGTTAGTTAAATGTCCCAACATCACACAGCTAGTAACAGCTATTAAATGGAGTAGCAGAGGCATAACCCTATGTCACAGGTCTCACTCCTGAGCGGGGACACCTTCCCACCACGCTATCCTGCTCTGCTTGGATGTCTTTAGAGTCATACTGAAAACAAAAATGATTTCCCCTCTCCCCTCGTAAATATGTTCCTAATTCTGTATTTCTGAGTTAATGTTACTCTATCCTTACTCACACTAGAAATCTGGGAGTCATCTTATGACTTCTTAACCCCAATATCCAAACACCAATTCCTGTCAATTTTAGTCTCAGCATTTTAAAAATCTGCCTCTTCCACCACTATTAAGGTAATTCCTACACTATAATGAAAGCATTCATTCATATTCCAGCACAAGGACTATGTCTAATTTACGTTTGAATACCTAAAGGCTAGTATAGCATGTGACACAATAAACAGCTGCTGAACTACAGTGGAGTTAAGCAAATAATCCAGTTTCATTCTCTAAGATGTAGCTGTCCAGTTTTCCCAGTACCAGCCGTTGAAGAGGCTGTCTTTTCTCTAATGTATATTCATGGCTCCTTTATCGTATATTAATCGACCATATATGTGTGAGTTTCTATCTGGACTCTGCCACAGAGAAATTTCCCATGAGGGAAAAACAGAAGGTGCACACATTTAGCAGTAGTCTCCTTTGCTGAAATCATCCAAGGGATTTATTAAATATAATTCTTCTTTATAACACTGTACTGTCCCGTATTTCTCTCTGCCACCTTTTCCCTACACAGCAGGGTTCACCTCATTCAGTAATTTCTGAATAAAGGAACGAACTTACAGTACACAAACTACTAATAGAGCAGTCAGGTATAGTTCAGCTTTTTTTTTTTTTTAATACATGTATGGACTCTCGGTCCTCTATTCCCACCCCACTACCCTATTAGTCAGGGTCAATCTTCCTCTAGAACAGTATAGCACTACATATTTCCTTCTGGTGTGGTGTCTACCAAGACTGGAAATACAGGTTGAAAATACTCTTTCGAACACTCTAAGACTATTTCTTTTTTT